ACTTTGTGCATGTCAGAATTTTATTTGCAATCGTAGAAATTACCAGATCATATGATTTGCGTCGAAGAACTGCTTCCCAACCTTTCCCTTCGTTTCTTATGATGTTTCGCGGTTTTCCCGATTCCATTTGATTTTCATTGACCTCTGCGCGCACATCATCTCTAATTCGCAGTCTTTCCCCAACCGTGCGCGGAATCGGGGAGGTCGTGACTGCACTCATCCCGGGGACGAGTGTGTAAATGACTAGTTTAGTAACTGGGTCACTTCTGCCCGACTACTGCCTAGCGACTGAGGTGAGCGGGACTAGCAGAATTGATCTGGTTTTTCTCCCCCCGCAGACGCACTGCTCGATGCTATTTTTTGATATCCTCCGTGCTTATTCAAGCGCTTTGAACGGCTTCCGCTATAGCGCTTACTACAACCGGTTCTGCAAAAATAGCCGAGTGTACTTCTACCGGTTTTGGAAAAAAAATTTCTGCAAAATTGTTACTGCAGAATGTATAGTCGTCCTTTGCAATTATCATGTGAATCTGCACCTAACGCAGCATCCCACGTTTGTTTCTTAAAGCAGTGGTATCAACGCAGAGTACTAATCCAAATGTCATACGGCTTTTTCTTGCTTGATTACTTGGTGATTCAAAATATTCAGAATATTCAAAAAAGTTATTTTTCAACCCACCTTCGCTGAATGTGATTGTAACGAAAAGTCGAGGTTTGGTGGCGCCACGTAGAGGAATCCGCAAGCGGTGACCTTGCGATTCATCTGAAAAAATTGTTGACTTCATTACTTGGTTACCAGAAAATACGAAAGTGGGGAAAAATCGGCTAAAAAAATGAAGCAGTTTTCTTAATGAGAACAGTTGTGTCTTATCTTTAAGTGGAATGTCGTGAGATAACACACGTGATCTGCAAGCTCACATCTCGAGTTGCAGTTGACTCGACTATGAAATGAAAAGCCACGGTACTGCACTTATCTGTATTTTTGCGTAATTGTCTAAAGGGTATAAGTAAATAGGTTTCAAAATACCCTCCATTAGAACAGTGGCTTTAGCGTTTTCAGTCGAGTGTGACGTGAGATGCCGCGCGCCGTGTGTAAGCTCACATGTCAAGCTTTGTTTCACTCGACTTTGAACTGCATAGTCAAGTATAGCCCTTTCCGTATTGCGTAATTTTCCAGCAACAAGTAAACTTTTAACGGCTTTCCCATTAGACCACTTGTGTTAGGGTTTCCATTAAGATAGTGGGATGCCGCGCACATTGTGCAAGCTCACATCACAGGTGATTAATGACTCGACTATGAACTGCAATATATCGTGCTGCGAATGTCCGTACTTTTTCGTAATTTCTTTTTGACTCTGTGTAAACTCGCGAGGAAATTGGGTCTCTGTGTCAATGGTCTTCGACTACTACATCATCCCTAAATCGTAAAGATACACTCACTACATTTAGGACCAGCTGTCTTTCTTTGAATTTTGTTCGCTGTGACTGCGAAATCAGTCGACCATATAGTTTCGTGAATCAATTCTGATTCATATACCATGCCAATGCATTTCCGATCACATCGCCATGGTCTTTTGTTTTCTCGCGATGATTCTTTTTTCCTGTAATTAGATAAAGGTTTTTTTTTCAAGAAACAAATTACCATCTATTCCTCACGGAAAGTGAAAAGTTGAAACAGTCAGCATTGAGATTATTTTTTGAAGAATTCTCTGATACAGTTGTATCCTCTGCAGTTTTTATAGTTTGTTCCAGTTTGTAATCTGTCGTCTTCTCCAAAATACTGATTTTTTTGCCCTAAAATATGTACAATAGAATCACACAGTGGACATTCTTCTCCATTGATGAGTATTCACATCACAACCATACAGTCAAACTCATTGAAATGCAAATCTAGTCCTTTGTGTACATACCGTGACCTTTTTTTCCAAAACATACAAAGCGAGTAAATTATTATACTAACGAAAAACTGGTTTATAATTTTTTCAAATTCCAATAATTCTGTTTTTCTCCGTTATGTCCGGTGACGTGACTATCGTATAGTTTACGAAAATTGCCTTTTGCAAATTCAAATCCTTCTAACATTTTCTGCATCATAAAGAACACCGCTCATAAAATGTTGTTTCTAATTTCAATGGTTCCGAAATCGTCGAAAATTTTCTGCACATGCTGTTCAAAAATAGTTTTTGAATGTTGTCCAGCTTTATTGGACCCGTTTACAATTCCCAATTTCATCATGAAAATTAGCAGTCGAAGTGTGGAATTTTTGAGCGGTTGAAAAGAACTACTGATTACTCAAAAAAGTGAAGCGTATATGGATTTAATACAAAACTATGGATCATCGTGCAACGGATTATTCGGTCATTTATTTGTTTACTTCTTGTTATTATTCATGTGGTCACATATTCATAATGCTCAGTTGTATTAGATCAAAAAATTTTAGTCTTACAAAAGCAATTATTCACACAGCGACGAAATGCAGGCGAACATTAGGGTGTATTTTTCCCAAGCTCAGAGACCTCTTGGCCTAATAAACGGTGAAATTGTCTTACCTTTTGCAAAGAGGGTCGTACTAGGTTCTCAAGAACCCATCGATTCATATACCTGAGTAGAAGACCGATGATCGCATGTTGAGCTTAGTCGCGGCTTGATCAAGTGGCACTCGAACGTGTTCCTCAGTCGCCACAGCCAGTCAACTTCATCGATCTGCTTCTAGGTTCCAATTTCTTCTCCTCCCCTCCTCCCCCCCTTCTCTTCCATGTGAATCCCAATTTTTTTGTAGCAAACAAGTTTCCACTTCCGGAGCAGTCGCTACTTCTCGTTCGATCTCGATCCGACGCGATGTTTCCGTCTCGGTCAAGCGCCGCGTCGCGCTCGTGTCGCTTCCTTTTTTGGTGCTGGCCGCGATCGCTGCCGAGCTTGCGGCGCGTTTTTCCATCGCGCGCACAGTTATGCGCGCGCATCCATCTATGGATCTGACATAGATACCCGCTCACGCACATCACAGCCCTTCCTCTTCTTCATCGGGGTTTTCCGCGGTTCTTTGCGGATTCTGCGCCTAACTGCTCAAGCAGCACGCACCCACGCCGCTCGACCGAGCATTCGCTCGCAAGGTCGTGCTGAAAAAACGCTCGGATCGAGACGAGTGGTGTAATCCTCGACGGATGATTTGTTCTTCGCCTTCGTCTCTGGGACAAATTCAAGGGCGCAGCTCGTTGAAGTGTCACTGCTTGTGTGCAGTGACGAGTTCGCGGCTGTTTCCGTCGAAAAACACTTCGGCTCTCTTATAAGAAGAACCAGTCAGTTTCTGCGTGAGCGGCCGAATACCTTAAGTGTACTCTCGACTCCTTGACGTGATCATATCGCTTACTAAGGAGTGTTTTTTACGCGCACACATCCATTCTTTTGTCATCAAGCTTCTTACAAGGGTGAATATGTAGACCATATTTTCTGCTGCAAATTTTGCTACAGAGTTGTAAATTAGTGCCTCAGCGGTGCTGACAACAATTGCTTAGAAAATGGCTGTGAAGCGCCACTTTGCTTTTTTACAAATTTCCCGCGCAAATGTTGTCAGTGCCGTAGGGCCGATTGTCAGTCTACTAGACTACAAAAACGCACATACCCATACTTTTCACACTCACTCGTATGGATACTGTAGATCATGTTCTCTGCTATGAATCCTGCCACGTGCTTGATTACAGTGCCTTTGCGATGACGACAGCATTTGCGCGTAGAAACGCTTAGGCGCGCACATACTTTTACATCACGGCAATTTTCCGCGCAAGACCACCATATCAGTCGGCTGTTCTGCTGTACACTCCATGTAATTGGATATAGTTTATAATCATCACATATGCAACTGCACACAACACACATCGCGCGTCTAATTTTGAACTTGGCCATTTCTCGAAACTTTCGTGGAAGTTGGCAAAAATTAAGGCTCAAGCCTAGAAAGTGTTTTTGTATGATTTATCATGATGCCATTTTCCTAATTTCGCTCACATTTTTTTCCCTAAGGCTGGGGAATGGCCGGTACCATGCTCGTCCGAGACTTTCATTGTATTTCCTTTCCTTTTTGGAGCACTCTAAGTGTGCTGATGAATCAAACGAAAAACAAAGATTTAGGCTAATGTGTCTAATAGTTTCTAAGATTTGTAGTTCATAAGTACTTTTTTCAATAAATAAAACCAGCAAGAATTCAGGATAACCCCGTAACCATCTAAATCCTAAATTTTACAGTGTGCATACTTTATGCATTTGTTATCAATTACAGTCTCTTTCAAATGAAACCTTCCACTTTTTCAACACAGCAGTTCTTTTCTGGTTTTTCCATAAAACACATCCCAAGTGGAGATCATCTAAGATTACGCGCAAAAGACAAACTCTACGCTGGTCCTAGCGTAGATCTAATCTCCGTCATGGACTCGTTTTTGCACATCGAAGCCGGCTAATACTAATTGCTATCGGAAGGTATGCTTCTTTTGGACTTAATGTTGACCGTGGCGATAATTGAGAGTTGACGACAATTTCTTTTCTGGCTCCGGCAGAAATTTCTTGCTACATGTTAATCTTTCTGGTTTTTGCCCCGCCATCCCATTCACTCTCGACGGCGCTTTCTAACAATTCTCGTCGTCGCTAAGTAGATTTTTATGAGCTATTAAAAGAGTAAACTTGACAGTAAGTACCTGCCTGGCGCCACTTTCATTTATTGTTCCTCATTCTCCTTTCAGTTTCACCTTCGGCTCTGCCTGCCAGCCTTTTTCTGAGCAAATTCTGACTCTTTTTCGTTCTTTTCCAAGTCATTGTTTGCTTGAAAGACGATAGCCTTGAGATGAAAAGCTCTTTCTTGAAAGCTCTTATGCAACTTCTTGCATCTAGAAAAAAATAGCCGCAAGTTGCATAAGAGCTTCTGCACTCTAGAAACCTGCTTCATTTTTTTAGCCGATTTTTCCCCACTTTCGTATTTTCTGGTAACCAAGTAATGAAGTCAACAATTTTTTCAGATGAATCGCAAGGTCACCGCTTGCGGATTCCTCTACGTGGCGCCACCAAACCTCGACTTTTCGTTACAATCACATTCAGCGAAGGTGGGTTGAAAAATAACTTTTTTGAATATTCTGAATATTTTGAATCACCAAGTAATCAAGCAAGAAAAAGCCGTATGACATTTGGATTGCGTATTCTGTCGTTTAGTATAAGTATTGTATTCTATTTGATGCATTGTTCATCATGTGCAATGGGAAATATAATTTTGTTTTCGTATAACCCCAAATGCTTCCTGGTTTTTGTTCGAACAAAGCGGCAAAATGCAATTGGTGGCAAAGAAATGCCCTGACTTTCATGGAATTGTTTTTACTTCAGGTTAGCAAAAAAGTGCAGAGACGAAACCAAAGTTTTTCTTTTGTTGCAGCCAAGGTGAAAAAAAAGAAAATATCTTGACCACGAATATATTTTCGGTTCTTTTAAGGATGCGCTCAAAATTGGGTAGAGGAAACAACACCTCAATTCGACACCGTCACCGCGGGCTGCTGGTCCTTTCGTCCTACTGTTGTGCATCGTGTTAGGACCAGTGGTGCACGGAGGCGGCATCTAATTGAGGTGTTCGTTCCTCCACCCCTCAAAATTCGAGCTTAGATCAAATTTTTAGTCCACTTATCGCTCTACTTAGTCTATTATCTCTTTTTCTTTCCACAGTGGGCCTTTCCAATTTGTTAAGACTTTTTTCTATGCCTCATTGTAGGGTTTGAAATTTTTGATAGTTGAAAAAATGCAAAAGGTTCCGTTAGTCAACGTACGTACTTGCCAGCAGACCTATTTTCAAAATTTTATCGGTTACATCAAATGAATTAGGGAAATCCAAAGTTTAGAACTGGATGAAGAAAGATTAAGATAACTTATAATAAAATCAAAATATTAGAATTAGATTGCCCTTGCAGGCTTCAAGAATTCGGCTTTATTTATTCTGAAGCATTCATATTTGAAGAGACGCTTAAACTTTCTATAGTATGAGAATTTGAAGAATTTACGGTTTCCTTGCCACTTTGCTACTTATTAATGGAAAAGAATGTTTGCAATTCCAAATATCTTTTTCTGTCATTTATCCTCTTTACAAACACAGAAAACATAATGCGATTAAGAATATCATTTTTGACGTTTCTTGTCAACACTCATAAGCTCAAGAAGTAGGAAATAATAACCAGTCTCTCATTTATTACTTAGCCTAAGTGGTCCAAAGATACCTTAAGTTTTCTGTTTGTTGCGTTTTAGCAGTTCGGTGAAAATAATAGCAAGAATCGGAGATGAGAAATCATGAAAAAATCGCAATTTCAGAATAACAAAGTCTTCATTTTCTGGCTTTTATTTTTAAGATGACGAGCATCTTCATAATTTCTCCTCGTTCCTCAATTATTCGTTTTTATTCAATTTTGAGACCATTTTTCAAATTCGGCACTCTGTAATAGATCAAAACTTGACTTTTGCACTAACTGAGAAACAAGGCTCAGCTTAGCTGGCACCGGGTCAGCTGGATATTGTTTTCGTTAAGGGATATTATTTAGACGCAAAAATTGCGACGTTTTTTCGGCATTTCGTTTTTCATGGGTTTTTTACGTTTACGGCTTAGGGTCAAAGGGAACTTTGTTTAGAAATTTATGCTGGTGCCTGCTCGTGCGGAACCCTGGAGAAGACTCAAAAATTTTTTCTATAAAACAAATTCATCATTTTGATTTGATTTTAGAAGAATAAATCATGAGGGCATAACACATTGTACTTTATAAAGGACTAATTAGTTCTTTCTCGAATATTTTTGGGACGAATGTCGAAATTTTTTCTGCGAGGCTTAGACTAGGAATTTTCTAACTGTGTCATTCGTTGTCAGCATCGTTGAAATTATTTTGCTAAAAATCCCTGTTTCAGCGTTGGCAACGACGATGGTTCACGCTGTTCGATTCGGGCGAGCTCACATGGGCGCTGGACAACAATGTGAGTGAAGGGGGCGGCTTTTTCGGCGATCGCATCGCTTTTTGCGACTTTTCGCGCCGCGATTCCCATCGTCTCGCGGGTCAAAATCGTCCGTCAAACGCGATCGTTATGACGGCCGATTTGACAAGATGTCCACTCGGCTGCAAACACATCTGTCATCCTGCGTTTGCAAGAAAAACGCCTGCTTGAGAAATGACATTGATATTGTGGGCATATAAAATATTTGGAGGGCAGTGTACTGCTTTGCACTTCCTTATCAGATCATAGTAGACGAGTTCAGATTTATATGAGACCGCCGCGTTTTTGACAGTATTGGACGGTTTTCGTAGTTTGGGATTCTAGAAACAAGAGTGCTAGATAAAATTCTCGCACCAGTAGAGAAAACTTATGAAGCATCATCTGAACTATCTTTCTGTAAAGAACAAATCTGCAGAATCTAACGATTGAGAGTAACGGCGCTCATATAATTCCATGTTGAACATACGTTTTCTGATTCATATCAAAATACATCTGCCTTAGGGTAAGCGCAGTAAGTTATTCGTGAAATTTGTCTCAAAATTAGAATTCTTCAAACACCTTGAAGATATGCTCCGTTCATGAAGTTTCAAGATCACCATTTATCTTATCCAAACATTTTGACTTTTCCCTCTTCCTTCATCAGTCTACATGTAGACTGTGATAGTTATGCAGATAATCAAAAGTGCAAAATTTCTAGGCGATAGCTTTTATATCCATTGCAATCCCACTTTCTGAAGGTCACATATCTAGCTAGCATGGACTAATTTTAACCCGTCTCCTTGTAAGGTGAACGTGAGAAGTCTCTTAAGAGATTTCAGCTGATTTGAGTGTTACTGTAGCTGTAGCATGGCTTAGTTTCAGTTGAATTCCTAGCGTGTATTTGGTATGCATTATGTCCAACTAGTGGATCGGTAGTTAAAGGTGCTAGATTGCATTCGCGCGCTACGGGACCGCCACGCGGTCTATTTGCAGATTTTTGACTTAACGATTCTTTATGTATTAGATAAAAGTAGTATAAACCCTGAGCCTGTTTTGCGAGAAAAATGCAAAAGACTATAAAAAATGTGGATGGAATATCTATTTCAAGACCTACATTTTTCAAATTAGAACTAACAAGGGAGAGTTCTCAAGTCAGCTCGGCCAACCCGGATGAGTCATATATCACCGTAACGGGCTTGAAACGCTAATTCCAAATCTGCTTTCCTTTTCTGCGGCGCGGCTTTCCGAGAGAAGTTATGAGCGTTTAAATGTCTAAATTTGTCATGTTCTAAGTGGCTTAAAATTGGCGAAACCTGTACAATAACACATAAAAGTGATTTATCAGTTTTGTATCAAGTATATTGATTACAAGGACGGAACACAGATAATGAAATTCCGTTAGGTGTTGTTTTACAGCTTTCAACTGATTTTAAGCCACTTTGAACATGACAAATTTAGACATTTAAACGCTCATAACTTCCCTAGGAAAGTTGCTCCGCAGAAAAGGAAAGCAGATTTGGAATTAGCGCTTCAAGCCCGTTACGGTAATATATGACTCATCCGGGTTGGCCGAGCTGACTTGGGAACTTTCCCTTTCAAGTAAGCAACAACTGGCAAGTTAGCTATGACGTGCCTAGCTTAGTAAATGTTTCAGTTTGTATGAAGTGTGGATTCAGCGACTGAAACAAAATTGTTGTGAAAACTTCTTGTGAATGCTTCAATAGTGGCTTCAATAGTTTTGAAGAGGTGTTCCCCAAATTCTCAATAACAACCTCATAACAGTGCAAATTTACTGGAATGTTTTCGATCTTTGCACGTCGTTGGTCCAAATATAGAGCATTTGTTTACATTCACATATTTACCTAAGTCAAAAAAACCGCACTTTCGGGCATCTCACAGAACTGGCCGGGGTTGACGCATCTATCTGCTTGGAAGGGAATACCGTTGTATGCGCAAAAGAATTCATAATTTCTAACTTGGATAAACCTTTGAGCCAAGAAAACTATGCATAATTTTGTCGTCAAAGTTTCCACTTTCTCTTTGGTTGAACCTAAGCTTCGGTCGTGAACTTTTTGGTATTTTATGGCTGAGAATTGTGAGTATGCCTAGACTTTGGCGCAGAAGAACTACCTAGGAATGACCTTCTCCACTTTCCCAGCCTTTACAAAAATTGTACTGTCACGACCTTCGCATGCCGAACATCGAAGTTCACTTTGCGAAATGTCTTTTTATTGATACCGTAGAGTTGTTGGCGATTCGTTCCCGTAGTTTACAGAGTATCGCCAAGGGCGTGTGACTGCACAAACTGTCGTAACGTTCGTTTCGTTCGTTACTCTTCACAGTGGGGCGAGTTTTTTGCCTACACGATTATATGGGAACGATTGACAATAGTACAACAGAATCTGGGTCTCACAGTTCCCCGCACAATAGACGCTAATAACACCAATCAAACGAGGGCCGATTTAGCCGATTTATGCCCGGGCGACTCGAAACTGGTTACGGGGGGATTTTTATCACCGACGCGAAGTTATCCCGAAGGCAGTAGGGGACGTTTTGCGAAAGTTATTCGTACAATTCGCGTCTCTCAGGAAAATGAAACTTGCTTGCACTTCTGCAAAGCAAACGTTCGCCGAAAGTTCGCAGATATGTTTTATGACAAGGGAATTATGAAAGTGGCACTGGAGAGATCAGGCTGGAAAACAGAGGTCGTAGGAGATTGAAAACGGTCAGCGGTGAATCATCTCCTTCCCATTCACAAAACAACACTACACCTATAAAATCTATAAAATGCCATAAAGGCAAGAGATCGGCCACTTGGTAATGTACAACAGTAGCAACAGTAACTTTGACGCACTGATGGCCGCGTGAGACACATGGTGTATCATACAATGATTACCGTATGGGACCATGTGAATACACGGTGCGCCATAGCTTGAACTTAGTCGGAATGATGTATTTTGGGAATAAACTCACTCTAGGCAGCTTACGTGCTGTTTGGAAATGATTTCCATACTTTTCGGGATCTCCTTAAGGGTACTGTAGGTGTACTGTAGATGATCTTCTAGAAAGCGGGCGACAACTAAAAATGAATGGTCGACAATGCGTTGAATTGTCTGCTAGTAACGATTATAGTGTGGTATATCTAACGGTTGATGAGCGCTAGTGTGTTTACGTACTTGTCAACATTTGCGCGTAAATGTCCATGGGTCGCAAAGTTTGAAAAGCTGCACTTTGCAATCATTTTCTTACGCGCAAGTGTCGTGAGCTCAGGGACGTGGCAAGTTTTTCACGCGCAAATGTTGTCGGCACCGCAGAAACACCATGTAACTGTCAGTTTATTGAAGTACAGCTTGCTATGCTCTTGGGACTAAGGCGCGAGATATGTATATTGTACTTCGCCATAGGTCAAGAGGAAGGAGGGAGGAGGGAGAAAGGGAGAGGAACTCTGTTCTTTTTCTAAGATTCTGAATCGATGTATGTCGTTAGGGTGAGAGAAGCGGTACGAATACCGCCGATACCAATGCCTCCACTGACTACAGTTTTTGAAACGGTATGTTAGTAGTACGCCGGAAAGGAGCAGTAGTCCCGGAAGTGACAATACTCGGTTCTTCTACCCTAACTGGAGTGGCATAAGCTTCTGAAGTGTTTTTCTAATTTATAGTGTTGCTGAATTGTCAATAAAATAATTCAACAAACTTTTTTTTCAGCCGGATACCGTACCCCAGCTGACCATTGACATGACGCGATGCCATCGTGTGTGCGAGGCTGATTCCATTACTGGTATGTTCCCCACCTCTTGTAACTTCGTCGAAAATGTGCGAAAATCTCTCAGGTAACTCGCATTCAATTCTGATGGCCTTCAAAACGGACGCGGACAGCACGCAGCCTTCGATTGTCTATGTAAAAGCGGACACGACGGACGAGATACGCTGGTATGTGAGCAAAAACGCCGCCGTCGCGCGGCTTCTTTAGCGATTTGCAGATCGAATTCACCTCGCCAGTGTTCGTTGTCGTTCGTCGTTCACTGGCGGCCACTCGTCGTGAACCCCGTCCCCTTGCGCAATCCCCAATCCACCGTGTTTCAGGTGGCAGAATCTGCTCAACATGTACGCCAAGCAGAATACGATTCAAGTACGACCAAGGCGTCAAATGACCGAAGAGAAGTATGAACCGATTGCGGTTAGTTTGTTCTACTCTTACCAAAGAAAGATCCACAAATAGTGTAGCAAATCAATTTTTTACGCTCGGTTATCTTCTCTCCAGTCGCTAATGCGTTGCCTTAACGGGTTCATCCATTAGAGTATTTTCCCCTTTTTCTGTCTTTCAACTGTACTTTCACTTAGACCTTTTATGAGATTCATAAAATTCAAACCTGCCTGCTTTTCATTTTCAAATCAACTGCAGCCAACTCAGGGAGCTAGCTTGTACAGTCGAAACAATCCATTACCCAGTATGTGCGATTGCACACTTCATGCACTTCATGCGTAGAACCACGGTTGCACTGAGGGAACGGCCACAGTTGTTGGCAACGATTGCCGAGATTGGTGTGGTTGCCGAGGTCAGAGGCAGCTTCGAGAGCGCTCGAAGCTTGTAGGCTATCATGAGGTCCTGAAACGACCGGCAACGCCGGCAACCTCGGGGATAGGGGAACGAAAGCTGCCAGTTTGAGCCGCCTTTCGAGGCTAACTGGTCCTTTCGCAACGTTGTTGCATGTCGTTCCAAGATCAGCAGTCCGCGCAGGCGACCGAAGCTGGCGACTTTCGTTCCCCTACCCCAACCTCGGCAACCCCAGCAACCTCGACAACGCCGGCAACCTCGGTAACCCCAGCAACCTCGACAACGCCGCCAACCTCGGCAACCGTTGCCCGCAACCTATGGCCGTTCCCTAACCAGTGGCACGCAGATCTTGCGGGTTCTCTTTAAGGTATTCTATCCTCCAAATGCCAAAGAAAAAAAAAGGGGGGGGGGGTGGGAAGAGGGAAGAGGCGATGCAGTTTCTGATATCAAAGTGTGTCTCCTCTTCAAGACTAAACCTTTCTAGCATATCTGAACCAGCAGCTGATTTTTCGACCCAAGGGGCCTAGAATGAATACACATTGATCTCCTTCACTATCCTAATTCACAGCCTACCATAAAATAATGGAAAATTCAGATTCCGCCCAAAAATGTCAGCCAGTTGCAAACTGTCCTGTTTAGGTGATCTCTCCTGAGCCAGATATGGAGTTTTCCGCTTGTTCATCACGCTGTTCGTCACTTGATCGACTAGAGGCTGAGCGTATAGGAGGAGCAACGGTTGAACAGAGGGAGGTGACTGCTCTGAAGGGAACGCATGGGACCCCAAGGAGCGTGAAGCAGCGGGACCGTAACTCCAGGTACAAACATTTCTTTTTTTCATGACAAAATTCCCAGCAGTGGCCTTTCCGGGGGGTAGAGCAACATTTCAACATTAGGCGGTGATTTCGCGGACAGCCGGTCCTCCCACTGTGTGCAATAAGCATGCGCGAAAGGACCAGCAGTCCGTGGGCGGTGCCTATAAGCGGAATTAGTTCTTTTACCTTTGCGCAAGTTTCGTGTGTAAAAACACTTCCCAGAATGAATAACTGGTTCCGACTGGCCTTCAAAGCTGAACGACTGCCCTTGCAAAATTTTATGGAGCAGAAACTTGCAAAGACTACAATAGACTACAATACCTGTCATAGCGAAACGCATTGAAGCGAACAAATTTGCATGTTGGACGGGCTGCCAAAAGAAGACAAAGCGCAATGAGAACACTGTCAGAACTGGATCCGCGCTAGACATAGCAGCTGTTCTTTGCATCGTCAAGAAAATGATCGCTCCCAGAAGCTTCTGACCTTTCACCACTTTTCATTCCTAGGGATGTGACTTACTCAACCCTAAAGTGAAAAATTGCAATTTTTACATAATATTCTTACTTTTTGATTTGTACCCCTAACAATAAGCTATTTCTACTGAACTCATCAACTGCAGACATTCTTCGCCAACAAAAGTTCGATGATGCAACAGCCAAAGATTAGATTTTTCGCGCTAGAAAATAGCGCACCCCGACCTCGTTAATGTTATTTGCAGGCAGAATTTGGGTGATTTTTCGGCTGTTACCTTTTCAGTGTTGTTGAATAATCTCGTTTTATGCAATTTTTTTTATGGTTCAAGCTTACTCGCCCAGTTAGGCTTGACACGAGGTAGCTTTCTGAAATTGCAAAAACAAATTCCGCTTGACTTTCGCGAAATTTTAAGTTGTTTGCGTGGAAAATTGTGTAACCCGCAAAATGTAAAGGAAAAAGTCAAATCTACACGAATAAATCCTAAACGTAAAAAACCCTTGAAAAACGAAACGTCGACCAAATAGACGAAACCTAAGTTGGTTTTCTCGCCCACAAAGACCATGTTCCCTTTGCTTTTTGTTCCAAACACGATTTCCAGATTGCTTATAAGCCACCTGTGCCGAGCCCTACCCTTAGTGTGTGGCTGCCAAACTTAAGAGTGAGGCCAATTTCTTGAAAATTTTCACCAGCACATCCTTTTTCCGAAGTTCTCATGTAATGGGAAGGGAAACTCTAGTAGTTCTTTTTTGTGATTCTCCTGCCCAATAGATCTGGAAACCCATGCTAATTGCTTTAGCAAATCACTAGTAAGTAATTTCAAGCTTCGCTTTACAAACAATCGGAACTAATCGTGGAAAACTACACAGCTTGGTTCTGAAACCGCAAAATATCCGGTGGAAATTTCTTCAACGATGCCACCTATTTTCGCCTTTGAGTAATTTCCTCGATCCTGAGAGCTAGGAATAGTTACGGTATAAAATCAACTCAAATATATTAGACTGGCATGAATTGTGCTAAAATGCTATAAAAATGATTAGATGACTTCGATATTACACTAGGAAGTTAGTCAACTAAGCTATTTCATGTATTTCGATTCCTAATCTTCGTAATGAGCAGAGTACCAAACTAACATCTATAGATTTCTTTTCACTCACAAATTTCCGGTAGATTAAAGTAATGTTTCACAAATTGAGGTTCATAAGCTTGGGAAGGTTTTGTTTAGAGCATATGCTTCTAAAGTAGTTATCACCGTTTGGATTTACCAGATTCATGCAATCTTGGTGAAGCTTGGTTATCTGGTAGAGATTCTGGTTTCGATAAGCGATCAGACCTGCAGTAGGAATGAAATCTTTCCGGATTTGAAGCATACGTCTGCATAAAAAGTGTGACTTGTTTGGAAGCTGTAACTAGTTGGAAGCCGTCTTTCAAGGATGGATAGGGTTCTTCAATTGCCTGGAAGGAATTTGCGTTCTGTTAGAAAAAGAGCAAGTGATTTGCAGAAGGTGTGGAAACATGATTTCTACCAACGGCTCATAAGTGGGGCCCGTTTTGCTTTTCGTTTCGCGATTCCATAAGGGCTGATGGCTCATTCAGAGCGTAGCCTCGGTTTTTGCGCGAATCAGGGCAAATAGTGACATCCGTCGGTGTGACTCATGTGACTCACGCCAGTGCTTGTTCAGGGAGGAGCCGTTGCGCCGATCCGAGTCTTCGCACTCGATCAGCGTCGTTCCGCCGACGACCGTCACCGTCACCGTCGCCTCTCCGCCTCCACCGCCGCCGTCGACAGCAGCAACAGCGGTTGCACGGTGAGTGATCTTTTTTATTTGCTTCCCAATTGCTTCTACCGCTTCCTAGCAGTTCAACAGCGCTTTTTATAACTCGAACCAGTCCTGGGAATAGCGGACATAGTCCCGTAATGGGAAGTTTTTCGATTTATATACGGGGGCCCGGTCACGTAACGACACTCGTACCGTTCATATTGAGTAGCTGTGCGCGTGCCCTCTTCACTCGCTCCCTTCACTCCCTCGATTCTATCTCGTTCTCTTCGTTTTGCGCAAATTCCCAAAACCTCTCTAAAGTGCCTCCAAAAGTGCATAGTAGTCGGTACATGTCAGTCGGCAAATTTCAGAACCGCCCCGTCACCTCCTCCACCACGATCTCGACACTCTTCCGCTTCCGCTGAGAACTCAGCTCCTGCTCCAATTGCGTCTGCAGAGCAGACTTCGCCAGTCGAGGAAAAGAAGAACTACGGACAGGTGAGTATTCATAGCGAAATTTACCTATTTTCTACCAGTCGCTGATTCATTTCCAATTTTCTACACTGTAGGTGAAAAAGGCGCCAGCGGAAAAAGGAAAAATCATAACCAAGCTTATCTTACTTTATGAGATGCTCGAACGGTCGTAAAAGAGATTGAGCTAAGCCCAACAGATACCCATTAAGTGATACTAGAAAAATACTAACATTTTTTTTATTCTCGTTTCCCTAGGGCTCGGCACAGCTGGCACCGTGTCAAGCTGGATATCGTTTTTGGGACAAAAAGCAAAGGGGATATCGTTTTTGTGGCCGAAAAGACGGAAGTTGCGACGCTTTTTAGTCAACGTTTCGTTTTTTAAGGGTTTTTTACGTTTAGGTTTAGGGTCAAAGGATTTCGACGAAATTTTCAAGATTAGAGGGGACTTCGTTTTTAAATTTCCCTGGTGCCAGCTCGTGCCGAGACTGTCATATTCTTAGAGAATGAGGTACCATATACGTACACAGCTTATCATTGCTACATAGGTTGCTCTGGTATACTGTTCGACTCTCAAAGCAGAACTCAATCTTTTCATAGAAAAAATTATTTTTTGATTATGGTCATAATTTAAAAACTCAAATTTGACTTTCTTACATTTACCGACAACTTTGAACCAAGACGCTATGATATCGCTTATTGTAAGATAATAACTAGCATTTTATACTCTTGCTTCTATCCCTATAAAAGGAATGCAAACTTTGCCAAGGAAATGACCATCCTTTTGCATAGTTTTTGAATCTATCTTCCTCATCTTACTGGTTTTATAGAAACATTCGGCCTTGTGCTTGGTGATCTGCATTAACTTTTTATGGTGTTTCTAGCTGAAGTGTTGAAAATAGAGCATGTTTTGCTAGTAAATGCAATCATCCAATTTTATGTCTACACAAAATGTTCGAAACGTACTAACTCATCTTTCGTTCTTTTCTATTTGTCGTCGCTTTTGCTGCTTCTTCTGTCAATTTTGACCCTATCGTAATCACACAACCATACCGTATTGCTCTGCATTTTAAAGAATAGCGTCAGAAAAGGTGTTTGTTCATATTTTGATTTCAAAGTTCCGAACTTGTTTTGAACTTGGGCTTTCTTTGCAGATGGGGTGTTCATATTTCACATTTTTACTTTGCTAATAATTTTCACCTTTTTTTCTGTAAAAAAATATGCTTCAGGCCTGTCACATCGACACCTCGATGGCTCACACTCTCCGTAAAGGATGGTTGATGCTCCGTGGCAAGACCGATGCCGAATGGCAGAACCACTGGGTTGTTCTGGCCGGTCTGAGCTTGAAGCTTTACAAGTGAGTGCTAATTGTTTTTCTCTTCCTTTCTTTGCTTAGGCGCAGAAACCATCTCAAAACTGTTTTGCAAGGAGCTAGTATTTGTCCATTTGCGGCGAGCCTATTCAGCGCTATTTGTCCAGACTTAGTTCGCGGTTCCTGAAGCGAACTAAATTTAGCCGCGCTCGCGATCGCAGCACTCCTTATTCGAGGACTTGAAATTCGCAATTCGGCTCCTTTTAGGGACGTTTGGGCGGAGGACTCGACCGAACCCTTGATAGCTATTGATCTGTCCGAGTGCGAAAACGTGTACCCATCAGCAAGTGCGAAGAATTACGGAATAGAAATTAAGGTTAGCTCTTGAGAGTGCCTCTTCGGCGCAAGATTTATAGAGAGTGGATTGCTAGAGCCCTAAATGTTCTATCCCTTAAAACAGTAAGCACTAAGTGCTCCATGAATTTTGCCCCAAATGTTTCTAAAATTGTAATTTCTCTTAGCTTTAACGAATTTTCTTAATTTATAATATTTTACTGAGAGAAAATCTTGTGTTTTTGGAGGAGTTTGAGGTAGAAATCAAAGTTGGCATGTCAAAATAAGATGATGATGCGAAACACCCAAATGTTTTTTTTTGAATTTGTTCCAAAAATGTTAAAAGATCCAAGAAATTTGGATTCAATTTTTCATCGTGGTGTGACCTTTGATTTTCAACGAAAATTTGGTCGTCCCAAAAAGCTTCTGAATCATGTTTCTCGATCCTTTCGCAAATATTCTAAAATAAAAAATTCAAATTTTCATTTTTATTATGGTTTTACAGCTTTTTGTTTTTCCAAGTTCGTTTCAAAAAACATTCAAATCATGTTTTTCCCGAATTTTGATCGCAAAGACGTCCACAAGTATAAAAAATTTGAACTTCATTTTTTTATCGCGACTCCATGACGTTTTGTTTTCAATGGAGATTAGTTCATGCTGATCGGATTCTACGCTTAGCTAGGATTTCGAGTTTTTTGATCGTTTGATTTTTTTGTTTAGATTAAAATTCCATGTTAAAATATAACATGTAAGGATTGAAATATCATTCAGGACCTTATGAAGCAACTTCGTTTTATAACTTTTTACGCATATTTTTTTTTCAACTATGCGAAATGCCTGTGTTTAAACAAGTAGGAACATCGGAGTCAACAATCAAAAAGTTTTTTTCTGACATTTTCAAATAGTTTTTCATAATTATTGGTGCTGTGACTTACGAATCAAACTAGTGTTTCTCGCAAGAAACAAAATAATACAAGCAACAATCTTTCATATTGAGCCAGTTCTTCATCTACTTAAGTTCCTTATTGCTTCGTTTCTCATCTGCCGTAAATTTGATTCGCAATCTGATCCAGTCCAATAGCGTTAGATTTTATTAGCTTGTGCTTTTACAATGAAGCATTTTCAAAAGCGCGTGACTAATGCGACTGGTTTCGAGATCTCTCAAAAAAAGTTCCGACTAGATCTTGTAAGGCGCGACCGAAATGAGCTTTATGTATTTCAAAAGCGGAGAATAGCTTACTACCATAGCATAGCAGTCCCAAGATTCCGAAAAATTTGTAAAACGAATTTAGGGCAGTAACCTTTGAGAATTGTTTAAATAGCCAGTTGCTTTTTATGGATGTCGCACACCTCAAATGTTTGCTTAGGCCGTATTTGCAAGTCTACGGTCATTCGTCGGGCACCTCTTCCTCCGTTAAAGTTGGTATTCCATATTATCATTCAGTAAAGCCTTGTGTTTTTTTTTTGAAAGTGTATTACCATCCAGCAAAAAGAGTGTGGATAGATAAGGTCCTCAAAACTCCTTTCCTGACAATTTATCACAAGGGAGGTGGAAGGGAAGAGTATAATCCACGAAGGTGTTCTACTCGACTGACAAAATTATAAAAGGGTTTTTGAAAAAAATGCTTTTTGACACAAGCCCGATACCCAAGCAGCAAACCTTACTCAGACAAATCACCGGAACTTCCGTTGGACAAGCCAAATGTGCAGAAATTCCGCAGGATTTTGTTCACTACTGTAAAAATGAAAACGTTGAGAATCGGAAATTCCGCAAAACCTCTTGTAAAATCCTGCGGAAATTCCGAAAAATGCCAGAGATTCCGCAGCACTTTGGCCTGCCAGAACTTCCGCAGGACTTTGAATGTGTTGTCTCGTGATGTTGCCTCGCCAACAACCAGAGTACATTATCGAACATGTCAGCCGTAGAGTAGAGGATAGTAGGTGGGCCTCACAGTCAATAGAGTGAGGTTCAAATCTCACTTGGGTGCTCTCTTTTGCTGTTGTGCTTGGGATTCTTTGGAACTTCTGCAGGACCTCATTTTAGAACTTCCGCAGCACGTTTACGGAACCTTCGCAGGTGACCCGGCTGGACTTCCGCAAGCGCTTTGCGGAAGTTTCGGTCATTTGTCTGAGTGTGTCGTTTTTATTGCGATATTATGCTACAAGTGGTTCTCTAAATATGTTTATGTAGCAAAAAAAACCTCCTAAAATTACGTGATGAACTTTCCCATAGAAAGTTTCACAACTTCTCACATGTAATCTTCAAAAAAAAAAACATTGAATTGACGATTTTTGACTGGCACAAGTTGTTTTTGCCAGATGCTATGTTCACCTCGCTCGCTATCGTTGCTCATAATGTGTCAAAGTGCTTGAATTTTATGGACATAAAAAGTATGAAGCCGATATACGTAGCTATAAGTTTGTTTGAGACAGCGCATGAGTTTCACTTCAATGGCTAACAATCTTCGAGTTGATTCCAGAGCATTTCGCTATAATTTTCGGGTATGCTAGCCCACACCCTTGTGTCATGAAGAGATTATCTCAGGTTAATTTGGTAACAGAAGATAAATCTAAACATTTGACCTATTACCTGTATTATCGGCTTGACTATTCACTAGTACCAAAAGCTTATATCTATGAAATCTTCCCATTCCTTTTTTCATAAGATGCACTCCTAATTTTGAAGAATCTCTGATTTTTAGCGTTAAATGAACCAGCCCATGCAACGAATTTTTGTGAGGGCTCACTTACCTGCTTATTTTTTTTTTGCGATCTAAATTTTCGTTCGATTATCTCAAACCCTTTGGTTATTCATGCCATTTGGAATCGCATCAAAATGTGATTTATTCAGTGTCGCCGAACTCGATATGTGTTGTCCGCAATGACTCCTGGAATTCGTGACAGCTGGATTACAGCTCTTCTTCAAAATCGGTGAATATCTCACTTGTCACGCCATACCTATTCACACATAAAAAAAATCTAATTTCTAGGCATAACCCATCACCAACGTACACGGAGACCTGCGCATCAAACGACGCGATGAGTATGGCGGATAGTTCGGATATCCTTGGAATGCCATTGGTTCGTATTTACATTTTTTGAGCTTTGTTGGAATGCCCTTTGCGCTCAGTTGATTAACTAGGTCAAAACTTTACGCTCAAAAGTACAGTGGAGAGCTGTAATTTGAGATGTGTGATTGCACATCAACCGTGAAACTTCACGACTCATTCGTAAACTGCAGTAGAAATCGATTCATTGGATTGAATGTATTATATGTAGTTAAACAGTCATAATCATAAATGGAATTAAACTATTTATAAGTGGAAAGGGAATAAAATTTTTTAAAAATCATCAACCCGCTCAACCAATCAAATGAGTCGTGCAGTAGCATGCGTGTTGTGTAGTACACACATTAATTACAAACAAGTAGCCCATATATCACGCTTTTTACGCTGAAGAAAAAATTGGCCTTAAGCTATAGAAGAAATTCGACACTGCGAACTTGGCTATATGCCAATTTTATTTTTTAAGTTTATACTATAGAAAGTTGTTTCAGCGCAAAAAGCACATCGCATATGTGGCGCCAGAATCGCACCATTCCAACTCGATCATGGATGGCGAATCATCAACCGAGGATGAGCTGAGTGCGATGCAACGTGGTCGCCACCGTCGCAGCCGCTCCAGTCGCGGTGGATCGCGGTCGTCGATGGACGTGGCGCGACGCGATCGCGGAAGTCTGTCGCCGTCCGTGCGACGATCGCCGGTTGCCATCGTAAAAGAGAGAAATCAGGATATTCGGCATCGGTAGGGTGTTAGGTCCCATTTGGAGAAATGTATGGTAGAAAAAGTTTTGCTGTTTAGCCATCCTTCCACCTCATCCGTCGCCTCGAGCACCAATCGATCTAAGCAAGGCCGAAAATCCACTACGGTAAGTATTCAACTTAGTCAAAATACAGTTTTCAGGCTCTGCTCGTTTTGGACCAACTTTCGCCTCATTTTTTGACCCCCCCCCCCTTGCCCCTTTCCTGCGCATATAGATATGCAACATTAGCTGATGATGTTCTCGTATATACGAGCGCCTGCTCCGAACTCTCATTTTGCTTAACGAGCTATCCTCTTCTGATCTTTTTGTTCAGTTTCCTTCCTCTTTAGCCTACAAAGACCCTTTTACACCTTGTGTTCTTATTATGTCTTGCAAACTAAAAATTCTGAGAATTTTTGCGACTGAACATCAGTCATTGTCAAGTTCGCACTGTCATTAGAAAAAAGACATTTTTCGCGATACATATAGCTTTACAGCACTTACCGCCTGTTCTCTATGTCAAAAAGTCGTGGTTTTCCGGAAAAGAAAAAATTTGACTGCAAGGACTACATGGTTTTGAGAAGAATTAAAGATGTTGGGTATGCATTGATCACAGCGTATAGCTGTGTTATCTAGAGAACGATGCTAAATTCGGCCGTAGTCAAATTCTTTAATATCTTCGTTGAATTTGTTCAAACAGCTGTAAAAATGTGAAAAAGAAATTTCGCCTTGTAAGCTGAGCGTTCACGGATTGTTCCTTTTCAAATGCTGAGCAAAAAAAATCAACAAAAACATCGTCGAAAATGTTATGCTTTTTTGGCTCAAAAATTGTAGTCACTCCATGGAACATCATATATCATGGTCAGTATGTGATAGGAGAACATTTATCTTGCTTTTTTGGAGTCGTAATTTGACAATTCATGAAATTTTTCGTATTGTGACAGAGACTGATGCTTTTGTCACACTCTGCAAATGATCAATCCTTTTTCAAAACAGATTTGTTTGTAGAAGAGCAGCCAATCTTGCAATGGTGAAAATCATTTTGAAGTGCAAAAGAAACCGTGGGCATCCAAATCAAACTATTGAATCATCTGCAATCATTGAACATTTTGACCAAACATCAGAATCGCTGGCATTCACAGGAATGTTTGATTGCTGTGAAACGCAAGAATGGGAGAGAATTGTTTGAAATTTTCGTGGAGATTATTTTTAGAGGGGCTTTTAGATTTTTACGCGAACAGGTGCACCTCTCTTTTCCTTTGTCTTCATTGCAGACTACGACTTGATTAGGTGACCTCACTATTTGACGCTCGAAATCATAATTGTGGCAAATTTTATCAAAATCTGTAGAGACCAAGCTCTTGAGTGAAATAATTATCTGTGAAGCAGCTGTAAAATAGATAACTTTAATTTCGAATGCATATCAGAATTTGGATCAGTAACATTTTAGTTAGAATGCTAGACTATGAAGCAAAAGTTAGTTTGACCATATTTCCAACTTTGTACATCCTTTTTCCGTTACATGTTGAGCATAAAATAAAAGTTTAGGTTAGTTAGTTGGGTGTAAGCCATCTTTTTGGAGTGGGAATTCAGTCTCATTATCTTAGGGATATTTTATCATGATCCAAAAATAAAACTAATCATAAATAGAAACTATGTGCACATGGGTTGAACATTATCATAACTGTTCAAAATATCATAACTTCATAGTATTATATAATGAAGTGCGACGAAACCCAGCAACAAATTATTTGAACTGCAAATCATAAATCAATTTGATATCAATCAACTCTCGTAATTTAAATGTGTCTTAAGTGCTCAGTTTGCTGATTCAGATAATTAACAAGCACTTCGAAAATTTTTTGTCTAATTCGACCAAAATGGGTTAACTTTAATAGAACTTTTTCTATATCTCGGCTAATGATTAAAGACCGTTTATGCAGGGTTTCAAATTTAGTTGAAAGCGAATTTCAAGCAAAAACTGCATGTTGGATTCAGCTAAGTGTGTGCTGGCATGTTTTTGTGCTGAGTGGAAACCTGGCTCTGTGCAGGCATGGGGGTGGCAATTCGCCGGGAAATCACGTCGTTTCGTCGGGACGTTTTCATTTTTCGCACCAGATGTGTCCCCGACTGCAGCTGTGTGTGACGCGACCGACGTACGCACGTACATCGTTCGTTCGTACATTTACTTTTCCGGGCATTCACCTACTAACCCCAGGTCACAACCTATTAGACACCTATACGTTCAGTTTTTGAGTTTTGCTTCTTCCCTTGCCTATGGTGGTGGCTTTTTGCGAACGTGCAACCAGATGCTTTGTTATTTTTGAATTTTGCAGGCAAACAAATAACATAGCACAAATTTCATCGAATACATGATTTTTTGCATTTTATGCCTGGGAAGGCCTAAGCACTTCTTTCCTCCAAATTAGCTGCTTACCAAAAACTTTTGGATCTTAGAAAGTCTGCGATTACGCATTCTGAATGTAAGATACAAAGCAAGAAAATCTCAAAATCTTGTTTATAAGAATTTATGCAAATACAAGTTTCTTATCATATCTGCTGTTCTCCGAAAAAGTCACTTTGAATGGAACCGTATCCTCCCAGTATCATAGTGCCAATTTTTGAATTGCACTTTAGTCTATGACTTCCTTTTTTGGAACGATATTTCTATAACTCCAAGTTTAGGTCTCGTGTGTCAACTTCTGCAAAATCACAGAGCGAAAAAAAGAAACAAATAAAGAAACAAATAATAATCAATATAACCTTGGCTCCATCGATAACCACTCCAAAATTTTAGAGAATATCCGCTCTTCTTCCTTAGAGCATTCTATTTTGATTTCGTTACTATTCCGCTGAAAATTTCTCGAAAATATCATATGTTTGAAACCCATATGAAACCTGCTTACATGCTTATTGTTTCTTGATTGAGCTTATTCCAAATTGGATTTTTCAGTGGTAGATGTCTCTTACCTTTTAGTGACGGTCCCATTAATTTTTTGGGTAGGGTGGATGAGATAAACTTCTGCAAATTAAGCGACCTGGCAAAACAAGCCACTTGCACAAATTCAAACTTCGCTTAGACCACTTTACAAAAATCTCGACCTTCTTCATTTCCTTTCCCCATCTTTGGTTTGTCATCACTACTCTAGTTTAACTACAACACATTGATAATATTCATGTTCTTTCACTTTGGCAAGATGCCGCGGCTACTGAAGATATTTTAGCGCTATAAAATTTATTTTATGGGCCATCAACCAGTATTTTTGATTGGATAAATTTGCATAACATTCTCTTTGAACCCTAGCGGCAGAGTGAACCATCTGATTTTCAGTTTTTGTAAAACTGTTTTATCACTCCTTACTCATTACATCACTTAAGGCTCCTTCTTACTTGCACCATTTCTTTTTCATTCAAAGTTCTATTGTTCTGCAAACTTGCACTTTATCTTATCTCCAACATCGTAAAGCAATAAAATCCGCAAATGTCCATGGCAACCTGATGGCACGCAGACTTTCGAATTTTCTTTCTTCCATCAGCTCAAAAAGAACATCGTAGCGCTTTTTCACCCTTTTTGGCCATTCTGCCATTCTCGTTTGTAACCACCAAAGAATGAAGGCGACCTTCTCGAAGTCGGGAAAAACCGCTTAGACAACGCGTCAGCGCAGCTTTTTGTACACTGGTGTCTGGTTAAGAGAAGCCTCATCACGTTCCGCCATCGAGCGAAATCATTCAAGCGAATGAACTTTGCCAACGACCGTGGCCTCTTATCACCCGCATTTTGAGCCCCTCTCTCTCCTCTTAAAGTTCTTCTTCTGCATCGCTTATGCCTTTAGTGCTTGGCAAACATCGTCGTCATCTTGACGTGTGCTTCCTTCTTCCCGCCTAATTCCCCCTTCAAGACTCCCCTTTCAAGACAGAGTGAATGGCGAAAGTTGGGCCACCGTCGGGCAGAGCCGAACCGCTCTTTCGCCAGCTGATGCCGAACAGATCCGGGCTCTATAGCAGTTACTATGAGGACACCTTGTATGACAATTTTTGTGGAGTGAGTATTCATTTTTTTAGCGCTCTATTCCACGATCATCCCCTCAGTGTCAAGAGTCGAGACTTAGGTCGTTGGAAGCGCAGGTAAATATAATTTAAGATATTGGAGCGAGGTTGCTACTATTTTCAGAGTTTGTCGTTGTGCTCGTTTTTCGAAAAAAGAAAAGTTTTCGGTGCAAAAGTCTAATGTTTCTTTCCATTCTTTCGTCCCTTCCCTTAGATGGAGTTGTTTTCAGTAGATTTAATTGAAAAAAGTTTTAATGGAAGGCATGATATTATGGAACGTATTTTCTTTTGCTGTTGAATATCTTTTCGAGATTTTGCTATTCCTTATAGCAAACATCAATTGAGTATTTTGAGCTATTCTTTATTGGGAATCAGAATTTGTTGGGATTCCTGCACGCACTTTGAATGCATTGTACAGATACTATTTTTCCATTATAAAGTGTGTCCTCAAAAAGATGTGCACACTGTTTGATATTTAATAACTCTTTTTCGAAGTCTTTTATCGACTTTTAGGTATCGTTTTGTAGAGCTGGCTTCAGCTTAGATATACAGTATGGAGCGAATTCCGGATTGTTTTTCATTACTGTAGGATTACGGTAGGAACTTTGAAAAGGGTTTTCAAGCATTGAGAGTCGCATTTTGCCTCGAAGAAGAAACCAAACAATCCAAAAACTTTTAATCTAGGCTTCCACAGTCGCTGATCTCAGATATGAAATTTGCACAACAGGTTCATGCTTCCTTCGTAAGTTATACCAAGGAACAAGGAAACAGTAATGACTACTCTTCCAATGTCTTTCAAAATTGCGATTACACCTTTAAAATAGCCCGGAAATCTTGTCGAGAATTGTGTAATGAAATCAGCATGCTTGAAAACTCTAGTACACAATTTTTCACATTTTGTTGGAATTTTCTCATCAGACGGTCTAATTTACCTAGCGCAGCATGTTGAAAGTTCCTACCGTTATCCTATAGTAACAAGGAAATAGCGCAGCATGTTGAAAGTTCCTACCGTTATCCTATAGTAACAAGGAAATATCGCAGATACGCTTCATACTTCAAATCTAAGTTAAATCCAGCTCTACAGAATGGTACCTAGGTCGAAGACATCGAAGTAAGCGATTATCAAAGTTTAAACAGTGTGCACATCTTTCTGGGACACCCTCTACTATAGTTACATCTTTGGTAATTTTCAACGTCTTTAAATTTTTCATAAACTGCAGAATGTGCTTCTCCAGTCTGAAGCTTCACTCCATACGGTTTGCATGCTTGCAGTGATTCTATCTTAATGGTTAGCAACCTGAAATTTACTCCAATTTTCCTTTGCCGACGTCTTGTGGTTTTTTTTGCTGCCTAAAGGCTAGAAAAGTTTTTTTTTTGAAAAATTGCTTTCGTTGCTGGCAGTGCCAGCCCTGGAGCATTTTGACTTTCATGAGTCTGAGAAATTCACGAAACAATTTCATGCTTTCAAAAAGGCTGTTAAAGGTAATTCTGGTATATCTACTAAGGGATAATTTTGCTATTTTCGTCCTTTGTCATATTTTCATCAGAACCTCACTGAAATGTCTTATTCTGTTGTTACTACTCGATTTGCCATCGAACTGAATAATCGCTTTCAAAAAATCAGAGTAAGCGAATATCATTGGGATTATACATATCCTTTTCAAGATTTTGGCATGATCTTGATCTTTTCACCTCAAATGAAGTTTGTATTTTTTAGGTACAAAATCTCCGAGACCAACTTCGAGAAACTTCGGCGAGACTAGGCGACTCAAAGACAGAAAATGAGCGACTGCGATACCTCTACAACAGTGGTGAAGTGAGTGAATCTTCAGTTAATGACTATGTACTCTGAAGAAGCTCTTCTATGCTGTTCCATCGCTTAAAAGCCTGAAAAAAGGAGACTGCGCTATCGATCAGCCCATTGGCAGAGAGTTGGAAGGGCGTTGCGAATCCATTGCTGGAGAGCATCCGGACTTGTTTTGTCCGCAGCCCCTCAGAATATTTTCGCCAGAGAGGGTTCCATCAATTACCCGCTTCCCCATCTACTCTTGGGGCAATTTACCCTGATCGATAGCGCATTCGTTTCTGGAGTAACTATTGTTCGCTCGTTTGCGTAGTGGCCGAGTTTCGGATGTTCCGAGAGGCTGTGCCCGAGGTTGCGCTGCTTAGTCCCATATGCCTCATCTGTGTATATTCATGAGGTTCGTCTTCGTTTCAGTCGAGTTCTTTGACCGCTCTGAGGAAGTCGCTGGCTGTAGCCGAGCAGGATGTGAGGAAGAAACAGGAGGAAATGGAAGAGCTGCGCTCGCAACTCGTCACCCAGGACTATGAACAGCGGTGAGAATTTGCCTATTTTTGCTCAATCTTGTTTAGTTTCGAAGAAAATTTCAATAGATTTTATGTATTTAGTCCAGGGCCTGGCACCAGCTGGCTCGTTTTTGTGGTCGAAAGTTGCGACGTTTTTTTCCTAGTCGACGTTTCGTTTTTTGAGGGTTTTTTTTTGCGTTTACCGTTTAGGGTCAAAGGATACTTTGTAAAACTTAGCGAAAGTGTCAAGGGGAACTTCGTCTTGAAAATTGCCTGGTGCTAGCTCGTGCCAAGCCCTTAGATTTAGTCTGTTAAGTGTATCAAGTTTGAATGCCCTAAAGTTTGAAAAATGTTTTTCAATCTCATCATGTGAGAAAAGATACTGAAAGCTTGAGAATAATTCTCAAATTTTGTCGAAACCTGACCCTTGATTGGAAAATTGAAACGCAGGTAAATGTTAGGGGTCGGCCATACTAATCCAGAAGTTGATTCTGTGTTTCCTGTAATTTCTGCATTTTCTGTGATTCGTCGACTTCCGATATGCCGCACTACGGAGCGCTTTGCAAATTTCAGTACACTTGTTTTTCGCAATATATATTGTTACGGGACCCGCAAAATCACTGGAATCGTAGGAGTTGCAGGAATCACAGGAACAGTATGGCTGGTCTCTTATTATAATTCAATTACCAAATTTCAAATTAAAAAGCGCATTACTGCATTCTTAGACCTAACGGAATTCACTTCTAAATTTACAGAATGTGACAGACATTGCCAGGGCTCCGCACAAGGTGGCTTTGCGAAAATGCAAAAAAGGAAGTCCCCCTGATTTTCGCAAAATTTTACGAGGTCCCCTCTGACCTTATCCAAAATATCCCAATGAAATGAAAAAAACTAATTTTGGGACCACAGAAACGATATCTCCTTGTTTTCTCACAAAAAGTGTCCAGCTTGCTTATAAGCCACCTGTGCCGAGCCCTGTCAATTGCTATTTGTATTTGAATATTTTCTTTATCTTCCATATTTTCTTTTAATTGAATCTTGTTTTCAGTTTCTCTTTGTATCAAATTTTACCACAAATTCATTTTTCTCTTTTTCCATCTTCAAAGCTATCAGCTGAGCTCATGTCAGTTATAATTTTTAATTCTTATCGATTGCATTTGTTTTTTGTTAATAAAAGCTACTGTTTCTCTGCGATCTCTCAAAATATTATTGACTGCATTTCCTTCCAGTTTGTTTTTGTTTCAAGCATACATAGGGTTAGTTCAAGTAATTACTCTTCTAGATTCATATGTACTAGCCTTCTCATCAATCAAAACTTGCACCGTTTCTTTTTCCACAAACGCAACTTATCGCTGTGCAAGATAAATTTTTCTTTGCTACAGCTGCAGAATTGCTGTTTCTCTCAAGCTCTGTGCGCTCTCGTTTCGCTTTTGAACATGGGTGGCGCTTCATTTTGCCCCATTATGGATGCATGAAAAAGTGCTGTTTTTCACTTTTGCAAGCACTCAATCATTCTGCAGCGCAGACAGTTTTAAAGTGCAGATTGCTCGAGTAATCATGCTTATTTCAAACTATGCGAAATGCGTAGCATCTTTTCGGAATAAAATTGTGAAGCATGTACTTTGAAGTTGTGAGCATCTCTGACATGCGCATACAAATTTGAACAGTTGAGGAGCCTCATCTTTTTCGTGAATGACAAACATTCAGAGCAAATAATCGAAAATTTTGCCGAACGTCTTCCACGGACACTCGAACGCTCTGGAAAAGTCAAGAAATTTCTGTCACGTAACCAAGATTTGAAAATTTGTAGAGAAAACGCGCAATGCTTTTTGGGGTTCTTGCTCGAAAATATTTGGTCACAACATAAAGCCTTATTAGCTGATTTTTCAAAATACCAAACTGCATTATGACGTCATTTTTTGACATTGTTTTGCATTGCTTAAATTGGATAGAAAAAGGAAGAAGATTTGCGATGGTAAGAAAAGTTAATTTTCACCGGAAATTGGTGACCATAATATTTTAATATATCTGTAGAGGTTTTGTGAATAGTTCTTTTTGTTTGTATTCATCTCTAAAGTTTGTTTCATTTGCAAGAGAAATTCAAAAACTGAAGTATTTAAATGGAAGCTGCATGATAACATGTCAAAATTTGATATTTGGACTTTTTTTGATATTTATCAGTGAACTCTTTTGTTAGCAATTTTTATATTACAGAGTAGCCGCTCTGCAACCTCGCTTGATCACGATGCTTCGTGTCCAACTCGCTGCCATCTCGAACATTACAAAATCTCGTCTACTAAATCAGAATCTCAGCATCCGAGAAGACATCGAAGAACTGAAACAAATGCTCGACGATGTGCGCGAGGGCGACTTGGAAGAAATACAGAAGATACTCGAGGATACTACCGTACTCTATGATCAGGTGAGTTCGTTCTATGTTAAAGTCAAAATCTGTCATCTTATCTGGAAATTTTTCTCGACGTTGCAAAAATGAATTGTTTTTTCCAGATCTCACAAGGTATAGTGATACCTTCCCAGTCAGATTCCTGGACTATGACTGAATCAATCGGAGCCGAATCCGATTATTCTGACGAAGAAGAAGACACCAAACAAGATAGTGAATGGCAAGCTGAAATGACTGCAATACAGGTAGAGTGGAGTCATCTGTAACTTTATGTTGGATTGCACATCACACGCTGCACCTCACGACTACTGCTGGCAAATAATAAATAAGTCAACACTGCTGAGATTACCTACAAACCTTTTTCCATTTAAGGATGATAAAAGAAACTGAAAGAACTTTGGAACTTGGCATGTCACATAAGTCGTGAAGTACCGCGCGTCTTGTGTAATACGGATAATGAGCCACAATTATACCGTGTAATATAGCTGAATGTTTCGATCAAGACGGCGACTGACATGACCTTTCCTGTGGATGGAAATCTGATTATGGCATTTTAGATTATTTTGCTTTACTCAGCTTTTCAAAAGTAAAAAAATTTGCGATGTGATTTTCCTGTGCAATTTGAAAATCGTGCAGAAGTCGAATTCTTCGTTCATTCCAGAACACCCACCAATCGGAATTGGAAACCATTCGGCACCATTACGAGCATCAGCTAAAGAGCATGCGAGAACGCATTGAGCATGAAGAAGCACGTAGGAGAAAGTTGCAGGAGGAACTCGTGCAGATTACGGTACTTTCCGTTTCTGCACTTTTGAGCTCTTGAGCCCTCTCAGTGCTTCCATTTAGACCCGCAATGACCAGTCTTTGACCACTGTGAAAGCATCATTCGAAGATGTCCTTGAAGAGCAGCGGAACGGCTTCCAAGAAGAAATGGAGCAGCTCAAGCGAGAGCACCAAAAAGAACTGGACGAGGAAAAAGCAGCTACCAGGTTCGTTTCTGTGCAGGTCGTTGCCTTGGTTGCAAAAATTCATTGCAGGTTGGCTTTGGAAGCGGTGAGACGAGCGCACGAAGAGGAACTGAAGGCGGCGACGTCACGGAAGGCAAGCACGGAAAAGGATCGCGAGGGAAGCAGACAAAAGTGAGCTTTCTCTCGCAAGTGCTGTCGATCGCTTTTGTTTTCGTTCACGCTGATCTCGGTTTCAGTTTCAGCGCTATGTTGGAGCAGATGCGAGAAGAACTGACGAATCTGTCAGCCGCCTACTCGGCCAAATGTATCGAGAACGCACAGCTTGACGAACGACTGTCGGCGTTGATGGAAGAGCGCGAACGCGAAGGTGACAGGTGGGCATGTTTCTTTTTTTGCGATAACAATAGCTTCGTTGAGGGTCGGATTATGTGTTTATCAGGGTCGGATTACATATTTAACTATCTGCCCTCTCTCTCTCTCTCCCCCCCCCCCCCCCCTCCCCTAAAGGCAGTGACCCGCGAAAATTGCAATCGCGAGCTTTCCACAACTACATGGCCTTTTAGATGCGCTGAGTAGGAGTGCCTGGAAAGTCAAAAAAGTGCTTATTTACCGGTCACAGTTGAAACTCACTTCATATGTGAGGTTTCAAGCATGTTCCTGATCAGCTGGTCATTTACTAAAAGGACACTGTTTGGGAGTTGTATCTACCCATTTTCCACTTCGCAGCTTTGCTTCTACTCGCACATAGATTTTGCATTGTGCACCCCTAAACTGTTTTCCTGCTCGCTGAATTCCTCAATTCCTTTCCCGTGACTTTTTTTATTTATTTCTTTCCAGGCTTGAATTGAAGCTGTTTTTTGCGTAGTGGAAAGCAATACCTCACATTTCCTCTCGCAAAACCGAGTAAAATGCTTCGAAATGGAAGAATCGCAGATGAAAACTTCACTAAAAACCGGTTATTTTAGGCCTCGGTCATACCACGCAATTCAATCGCAAAGCGATTTTAAGCCCTACGATCGCTCTCAATTTTTTGTAAACGCTTTTTGCAAGAAAAATCTAGCATGTTTGCACAACTTACAGAATCTGTGAGCCTACATAATAACTTGGATCCACGCGCGATGGGTTTGTAGGCATCTGGCAAATTGCCAAATCGCGCGGCGACCGCTCGGAGTATTAAATACCAGACAACCACAATTCCCTGCGACTCCTGACTCCACTTCAGAGAGTTTTGATGTTGCACTTAGCCAATATATTTTCAGCGAGGATATCCAGCGACTGCAGCGCGATCTGATGGCTCGCGATGCGCAAGTTGCCGAACTACAGCGACGGATCTCTGCGTACGAGCGACGCGGTGGTGACTCTCCCATTGTCGTTAGCGGTAAGTTCGGTCTCTGTTCGTCTCTCCTTACCGTACCCCATGTGTGTTCCCGTGCCGTTTCTACCGTACTCTTCTGTGCTTCAGGGCGTAGGCGGTCGTCTTCTCGGTAAGTGTAGTGTCTGGTGTGTAGTTATGCTCGTAGCATGCAGCGTTCTTAGCAGCTCCTGTAACTCTTAGCGTGCTCTAATCCTCTTCTTTTTTCCCTCGGTTTCGCCCTGCCCGCGAGTAGTTGCTTAGGGCTTCCTAGATTCGATTGCCTGCCACCTTTTCGTTACCCTCAGTTTCGTACACTCCTTTGTTTCTTCCGGCTTTCAAATTCCTCTTCGGAACTTTGTGTTTAGACAAGGACGAGTCACTCTTGGAGGCACCATGCCCAGAGAAGCCCAGCAGCAACTTAGCAGTCAAGTATAGGAAAATGAACAAGAATAGACGCACTGGTAAGCGCATCATCTTCATCATTCAGCTCACAATGCTAATTTCTGCATTTTCAGACATTCGCTTTCACAGTAATCCCGTTATCCCAATGCTAGAAGGAGTTCCTGAGCATCTGCTCGAAGATGTCCGTCGTTCCCTTGCAGTGCCAGTCAGCGAACGGCGGAAATTCTTCGAAACCATTGCCGAATACAGTACCCCGTTCTGATTCTCCGCACTGGCTTTGTACAAATATCTCCCACATCCGTGGGGCCCCCAAATGAGATTATCGCAATGTACAACAAAACAAATCGAGTCAACAGATGAATGTATCCTATTTACTCCCTTTCAAGTACACATTTGATCTTTCCCAGAAATAGCATAAGGTGCATTTTTCTTCGTGAAGTTGTTGCTCTTCCCCCTCTCTACGCAATGTTGCTTGTAAAGAAAGCTAATAAAGTAATAAGAGTACTATGCTACGCCAAATATGATATGTACGAATAATATGAAATAGTCGCTGCATTGTGATCCTTTGAACCGCTCATCGCCGTCGTGTTTCTGTTGTTTCGGCTCGTTTGTCTACTTTTGTGAATAAATATCTTGTTTGTCAATTGCAAAGATGTCAGAAAGTAGCGCAAAAAAGAACACCAGAACAAAAAAGCTGGAAGATTCAGCATCTAGGGTCAGCCGGTTACCCAGACAGTGCTCTAGTCTTCCTATGTGCTCTGTTATTATAGTTTGTTGAGTCGTTACCTAAGCTTCATTCTACTCTCTCCCCTAAAAAGAGCTTTAAAATCTCTAACAAAGTCTAATATATAGCACATATGAGTAATGGACGAAGGACTATCCATTGGCATCATGTTCATCTTCATGGAATATGGGATGCTGTGAATATAGGCTATTTTGTAGGCCCTTCAACCCCATTTCTTTTTTTAGTTACTTGATATTTGGTCCGTCTTTAAGCGACATGCGAGCCCCAGCACGGAAATTTCCATCGATTCGTGTTTCTTGCTTAAAGGCACCGTCCACCCAAAATGGACGTTGGCGAGATTATGATGGCATACTAGTGTGGGCCCCCATACTAGACAAACCTCCAAGCTTCGCCGCAAAAGACTGTTTCTGGAGCGAGAAATCCGCTCCGGAACTACCCTAGTCGCCCCGCCCACTTGCATGCTCTATCTCGCCTGCGCTTGTTGCAGAGGGTTCTCGAAACAGGGATTTTTGGGGGTTTCGCGGATTTCCGATTCCATATTCGGAATCAGGGCTTTCAGAAGGCCTGAAGGTGACAAAAACATTGAATTCGAGATTTTGGGTGGACGGTGCCTTTGAGGCATCCACGACCTTGCTATAGATGTCTGCGTCCACGAGTTCCAGGGGCAAAAATCATATTCAGCTAATTTCTCAGCTGATCCATCCATTCCACGAAAACGTCTGCCCATTCCATTCTAGGTTTTCCTCGGGGACAGTTTGCTTCGCGGGAATCCACTCAGATGTTCTTAGTGTCCATGTGTCGTCTGTTCTTCTCCTGATGTGACCGGCCCATCGATGCTTCTTTCGTAACGTGTTCTGCTGGGTCACAAAGATGGGATATTCTTTTCATATCCGTACAGCGAAGTCCGCCAAGGTGTTTGTGTCGGGTCATCTCCAGAAGACTGGCCTCAAGCGCTCTGTGGTGGTCTTGGAGCTTTTCTTGGCTTCAGTTCGCCCAAGCGAAGTGAGAATTGGTCAGAATTTAACCCAACCATTCCAAACGAGCTGTATATTGTGACTCACCTTGAAATGCTGATTCCAATATCTGTCTACTATCTGCCAAGCAATCATGTCTACTATCTGGACGGAGTTATGAGCGTTAAAATATGAGAAACTACTCGAGTTCCAACGATAGTTCGTTAAAAACAGCCTATTGGCGTTACAGTGGTTATGGGTATTTTGATTACAGGGAAGAAACACACACCAAAAACCTAAGCGAGTGTTTCCGAAAAGTATTTCGTGGAACATGCGTCACAGAAGCTTGACGATCTCACATTTAAACGCTCATAACTCCGTCCAGATGGTATATATGGGTTATTAAAATGTGCAAGTGACTTTTCCTACTTGTAAATAATTAGGATAATTTTTAAACTCTTCAAAAAATCAAATTAATTTTTAAAGAAATCTTTTCTAATATTTTGGCATGGGTCGTCGTCGCGTCCACGAGTTGCAGGAGCGAAAATCGTATCCAGCTGATTTCTCAGCTGGTCCATCCGTTCCACGAACACGTCTGCCCATCTCGTCGGTGGTCTTTCTCGAGGACGTTTGGTTCGCGAGGAATCCACTCAGATGTTCCTAGTGTCCATCTATCGTCTGTTCTTCTCATTATGTGACCGGCCCATCGGTGTTTCGCTTTTGCAACGTATTCCGCTGGGTCACGAAGACGGGACATTCTTCTCATATCTGTGCTGCGAAGTCCAACTAGATGTTGCTTGTGTCGGGTCATCTTCGGAAGACTGCGCTTCAGGGCTCTGTGGGTGGTCCTCAAAGCTTTCGACGTGGCTACGGTGTCGGCCCAAGTCTCAGCTGCGTAGCAGAGCGCTGGGAAAACGGTTGAGTCGAACAGGTGGCGAAGCTCCGGGTCCGTCATTTGGTCAGTGGCTTCCTTCAAAGGCCCGAAGGCGGCCCAGGCTGCTCTTCTTCTAATGTTAAGTTCTTCCCTCAAGTCGTTCTCCATGTTCATCGAACGTTCGAGACTACGTATGAAGACGTCTCCGTAACGGGTTACCTTTCAATTCCATTTCTGCATCTTCGCAAAGACCGTTCTTCATGAACTGAGTCTTCTTCCGATTTATCAGCAGTCCGATCTTCTTCCCTACTTCGTTTAGCTCCTTCAGCATCGTCTCTGCTTCACTGATACTGCTCGAGAAGAGGACAATGTCATCCGCAAAACGAAGGTTGGATAGGAATCCCTCATCAACTCGTATGCCTCTCTCTTCCCAGTCCAGTGACCTCATCAAACACTGCAATGCCGCGGTGAACAGCTTCGGCAAAATAGTGTCGCTATGTCGAACCCCAATTGGAATGGTCAGGGGGCGATGGAATAGCTGCGTCGTTGTTGTACAGTCCTTGTAGCAGTCGGCTAGTGTTTTCACGTAAGCTGGGCCCACTCCTTGATCGACTAGCACAGACAGGATAGCGTTGGTTACGACGCTGTCAAAAGCTTTCTCGTAGTCGACGATGGTTAGGACGAGCGGTAGTCGGTACTTCCGGCAGACTTCTATGACCCTCGAAACCGTCTGGATGTGGTCCATGCAGCTGAACCCTTTGCGAAATCCAGCTTGTTCTTGGGGTTGGACTTCATCCAGTGTCCTAGATATGCGTGCGAGGATAATCTTCCTGAAAAGCTTGTGCAGCACACTCAGCAGGCATATTGGACGGTAATTTCGAAGATCCTACCGTTCACCCCTCTTGAAAAGAAAGACAGTTCTTGACGTTCTCCACTGGTCGGAATCCTCTCCTTCTGAAGGTAAGATGTCAGGTGCGACGCGAGAATCTCGTGTAAACGTTGTCCTCCGGCTCGCAGAAGTTCGACGGAAAGATGGTCTAATCCTGGAGCCGTGGATGTCTTTATGGTCTGAATTGCCGTGCGCACTTCAGCAGGTAGAATTCGTGGTGGTACTTCTCCAGTGGGAACAACGGGCATCGGCACGGGTGTTGATGAGCGGAAGAGGTTGGTGTAGAAGTTCTTCGCGATAGATTCCATCTTGTATCGGGAAAAAGTCGGAGTCCCGTCTTCGTTCAGTAGTGCAGCCAGCGGTACGTGATATCCACAGAGGTCCCTTCGGCATATCTTGAGACTTCGTCTTCCTTCGGCTGCTTCCAGTATCTTGGCTTGCGTGTACTTCCTGAGACCCTCCTGCAAAGCGGTTCTGCAACTGGCGTTGGCTATCAGTCGCTCGAAATGGGTTGCATTCGGATTCTGCCTCAGAAATCTTCTTCTTTCGAGCAGTTCCTTGGTGGTCTTCAAAATACGTTCCAAGTTCTTCTCAGAAGTCACTGAGGTGCACTCTCCGCAGGCTCGCAATCCTTTCAGAAGCCGGTCGTAGTCGTGCGTTGGGTCCTCCTCGATGGGCCAGTTTTGATATGAGCTCTTCCAGCCTGTTACCGTCATAAACGACTTCCTTCCTTCTCGCGGCACTGTGACAGACTTTCTTTTCCAGCCTTCGGCTGAGTCGTATCTTCGCTCGAAGGAGGCGGTGATCGGAGCCACTGCAGAAGGATGGAACTACTGAGACATCGAGCAAGCTTCACCTTCGGTTGGTGAGAATGTGGTCGATCTCCGCGTGAGTCGTTCCGTTGGGCGATTCCCATGTCCACGTTCGTTGTTCGATGTTCTTTCTTCATGAAGATGGAATTTTCATGGAAAAGTCGTGCGGTGGAGAGAAGCCCAACGAGACGGTTGCCGTTTTCGTTCCGGAACCCATATCCAAACTTCTCGATCCTATTCGCATTGAAGTCGCCCTCAACATACTTGTAGAAGGACTTTTCGTTGCGGACGACTTCCTCCACGTCTTCGTAGAAAGCATCTAGCTGTGGATCGTCAGCTGCTGATGTTGGAGAGTAGCAGTTGATGATGCTGATGGTCTTCTGACGTGGAGGGCGTAGTCGTAGGATGGCTAGTCGGGGTGAGATCTCGTGCGAATCGCCAAGATGGACGATAGATGGGTGGACGACAAAGCCAACGGCTCCCACCTTTCATGATGGAACCTTCTCACCACGAATGATGAGCGTCCCATCATTCATCTGTCGCACGTCCTTCTTTCTGGACTTCGTTTCCTGCAGAGCGATGATGTGTTACTTGATGTGCTCAGCAGCGTCGAGAAGAGCGTGGAGGTCGGCGTTTGTGGTGACTGTCCTGGCGTTGTAGGTGCAGAGCATGAGGCAGTCTTGGTGGCATGTCGTCCGGGCAGACGTGTCGTTTTTGTCCAATCCAAAAGGCGCCCTGAGGACCCTGACATCAGTCTTGCTACCACCCGGCGCCGTAGGCGGGATCCGATGTGCAGGGTTTCTTTCTATTCTTGTGAATGGTAGAGTAAAGAAATTTTCCCCTACAAGAGCAGACTTACTAGGCCAACTCTTGATTTTCACTGGGCGATCGCTGACCCCGGGCTTGGAGCGGGGAGAACCGCCTAGCGACCTGAAAACCAGACGGCGGTGGATCTAGCCTGGCCGCCTCCTAGCTAGGCATCCGGCCGAAACCGGAAACGTCGAACTCCTTCACAGCTTGGGAGGCCCTGCCAGAGTATACACTCGGCTGTTCATCGCAGTTCGACACCCAGTGTCACCCCCACGCCACGATGAGGCGGCCGACCATTGTGGGGGCTACTGAGATAAAGGACCTTTATATCTGTTAGTGTACGTCCCCAGTTTGTTAACACATTCATTATTCCCCACTAAGACGATGAAGGTTCTTGCTAGCCTTCAATAACTTGTTTTATCACGGAGAACGGTGATTACAACGTCTGCCTTCCGATATTCTACAGTCGTTTCATGCTGCCTTTCAAATAAAAATTAAGGTAAGTAGATTTGCAGGATCTTACTGGCTTCTATGACTGAATTCAGTCTAGAAGAGTCT